ATTTAAAAATATTGAAATTTATCATTTAATAGTAATTCTTTAAACTTCTGGTATTATCTTGTATTATAAAACAATAATAAGTTGATCTTTTTATAATAAAGCCACAATATAATTTATTTATTTTCTTTTAAATCAGTTTTAGCACCGTGTTTCTTAAAAAATAGAATAATAAAAATTATAACCCTATAATATCTACGAGTAGTCTAATTTTTAAATTATCGAGTTTCTATAAACATGTAATTCCATAACTTTAAACTGAACGAATAGATCTTATTTTTAATAAAATATATCCAAATATTTTAAACTAACTCAAGTTAGTTATGTTCAATGACTATATTTTTCAAATTTCATCTGTGCATAATATGTTTGTTTAGTTTTTAAGTAATAAAAAAATGTATTCAAGTTAATTTCTATTAGTATAATAAATTGCAGATACGTATAAATATTATTTCGCATAGCGAATTGGCTAATGAAAGTAACCGTACATCCGTAAAATCCCACAAATTAATATCAGAATATTGTTAGTACCTACTTAAATAAACAATATTATATTTAATTTCTTAAGAGTTTAATAAGATACTACTTTTATAACATAATATGTGTATTGTGTACCATACACCCGATTTCTCTTAATCAATCTCAAATAAATGTTTATCTTTCAAAGTGTTAGTTATCATTCTGATGTATTTGAACTAGTTGCAGTTCATTATAATCGGTGGACATAAAATAAAAAGTATGTTATAATAAATGTTGATAATAGTTGTTATATATAATATAATTTTTACTGACCTTTTGTAAAAAAGCATTTAATTAATATGCGATTAAAAATACATAGACATTTTTTTTTTTCATAATCTTTTTAATAGGATCAAATTTCAACTAATTCAACTTTACAAGATATTAAATTTCACATCTCAGCTGATTTTTTTAATCATGACATTGTTAATGGGAGGACGGGTGGTATCTCGGGCTCCACCCTTAAATACGCCCCTGGCTATTGCATTATTTTAACGTAAATCATTATTGTATAAAATAATGGTAATAATATAAGATAGAGAAACACAATAGAATAATCAATGTTATTTTGATAATATTCCATTAGGACTCGAGATAGCAATATTGCTCGAACAATATAAAAAAAGGTGAACACTTTATCTCACATATTTTAATTGCATATCATGTAGATAAATAAATTTACTTAATATACTGAACGAATTTTCAGGGTTTTTATACGGGGTTAATGTTAGCAGGCCAATACGCTATTATGCCACACACTATACAGTGCAGTGAACGTGATGTTTAACCGTTGCGGCTCTTTTGATTTTCTACGAGCCGCAGAAAAGACTATATATATAGCATCACGTGCAATAAAGTTATTATGTCCGTATAGGTCGTAAATTAAGGCCATAGTCGGATAACAAGTATAGGTATAGGTTATGACGTTGTTTATTAATATTCTTATTTGGTCATAAACGGACTAGTCAGCTTCTACTCAATTTATCTGTCTATAAATTTAAAAAATAGAAGCAAACTATATTGAAAAGAAACAAATTCAAATGTTAATATTAGTTTAATATAATATATACGTAATAGTAACTCTTTAGCTAATGGAGCTATGAATAGAAAATTTAACTATACAAAAATTAATTTTAAGTTCGTCGAATATGATTATGATAATATTCCATAACAATATTTTAATGTTTTCTAATTAGAATATTATATGTAAAATTATGTTTATTAACCAAGTAATTTATAATAATATATAAACATGTTTTAGATGATACCATTCATTATAGAATAGTTTCTATAATCAATGATAATACGTATGTATCTATAATCATTTTTATAGAAAAATCTATTAAGACTATTTAAAATGCGTGATTTGATTTAAAAAATACAAGATATAGTAGAGGGAGGGGACAATTAATAATCTAAAACACTATATTTTTTTTCGTTTACTTCGGACTCTAGTGATCTATCGGAGCGGTTTATACAGAAGAAATTATTGAACACTCGGATATACGAAAATTATTGTGGTTTATTCTGTTAATTAAATTTTAAAATGAATATACGTTTGCTTCGGCCGGTGGTCACGGCAATGATCGAATCACAATTGTCGATGCATTATCAATGCTTACCCATATATCTAGAACCTTCCTTTCGGTACATATTTAACGCATTGCCGCCGTGCTCACAAATAGTTAATCAAAAAAAAAAAAAAAAAAAAACTACCACAATAATACCTATTATTAATAGAAATATGATACGATAATAACTATTAAGTAATAAGTATACAGCATAAGTACCCACATTTTGAGTGATCGAGTTGACTCAGTAATATTTTAGTCTATATTATGCGTAAACCGTGTTTAAATTTCTAAATCTCAGCTGGCATACGATAAATATAATGAAGCTAACCGTTCATATAATATTGATGACAATAATATACCTAATAGAAGATGTAACTATTTTTTTAAATACATTTATCATATGATATTTTGTGCGCCACGCGGAGGACTTTCCTACATGCGAATTGAAACAATAGTGTTCGCATATCTATTGAACAATTATTATAATATTTATCAATAACAACATATAACATTCCTATAATTGAATATTAGATGTCATCATCTGTAGACTAATGTGAATGCAAACTTTCTAAATACCATACAAAGGAATTCGTGCCGCCATAATAACATAATATTATTAATAAAATATGATAATAATATTATAAAGTAAGTTGTATTATACATGAGTATATAACGTCATTATATTAATATTGTATGCATATCGATAGACGTGTGTGACTTACGACTGTGCAAGTCGTAAGTGAAGCTCGGGTGTATGATAATATAATATTATATTATACCTATCGTAGCGAGTAGCTACATTTCATCACGAAGATTGCTCAGCCATGAATAACTAAAATATCTTGTGACACGCTAATTTTTAGAGGACATGATATTCATGTATTATGTACCATCTACGTTTATAAATACTTGACCACAGAAATACACGAGTAAATACTATATAGCAAAATACTACTACTTGAAATCGAAATCATTATTTCTAAAGTTTAGGTTAAAACGCGTATAAGAATTTAAACGCTCGTTGTTAAATTTGAAGAGGAAACTATTATCAAGATAGTATGGTATGTTTTTCTTAAAAAATATGTCAATATTGTTCGATGAAGAAATCACACTTTATTGGTTTCGATTATTTATATTTTCGTATTCTATATTATTATATTAGTAACACGGTAAATAATATAAATTTTTCGTCGAACAATATTTTATAAAAATTTTATTTTTAAGAACATTTTTCTCTTAAAATTTGATGATAGATGTATGTCCTTTAAGATTAAAATGGACATTGTGATTTAGATTTTACCTAGTGATATTTTGCTGCATAATTTTCCAGTTGGATAGACTACAGAAACATGTTATATATGTCATTATATATTTTATAATACATGGATGGTTATTTTATATAGATAACTTAACCTATCTATAATAAATGTAAGCCATATCACATTTTTTTTCACTGATTCTTATGAAAGTACCTTTAACTTAAATTTATAAACCTATATTTGTATTCATGTCATAATTGTATACACAAATAATATACAATTTGCATAAAAAATAAAATATGATTTATTACTTTAAGTTAACCAACGAAAACTCACTATGAAAATTGATTGGGATATAATAAAAATTTGTTTTTGTAATGCATGTGTATAATATAATATATATATATATATATATATATAATATATATAATATATATTGTAATATTATTATATGTACAAATATTATAATTTATAATTTATATAGTATAGTAGTAGTTAATGGATATAATAATATAATATTGTAAACAAATATAAATACGAACAAAGTGCAAAAAATCTAAAAAAATGTTTTTGTGGTTTTTGTTTTTTTTTTTTTGGTATTGGGTTAACGAAAAATTAAGTACGAACAAAATATAATATATATAACAAACAAACAAAATATAACAAGCGCGTAGTAATGATATAATGTACTGTACATTACATAATATATCTTATATGTATATTGTATAATATAATAATAGTGTATGAACAATTTATTAGTATAATATGTAAGTATAAATTACGGATCATTTATAAAATTAGATACACATATACAATATTATAATGTTTGAATAATCTAAAAATATATTATACAAGTTGTATGTGCATTTAGCGGTCGCTGGTCTAGACCAACGCGTTTGTACAAAAAAAAAAAATTAAATTAAATTTTTTCAATAAGGATAATAATATATAATAATGTACATCAATTGATCTAGTTCCTTAAATCTAATTTGGTTTTACCGAACATTAATATAACAATATGGTCATACACAGCTTATTGGCATATAATAAATATAATATAGCTATAGTAACTACACACATAATAATAATAATAATAATAATAATAATGAAGATTATTATGATTATTGTACTAACGACAATCTCTTAAAAATGACGAAAGCTATAACTAAAAATATGCATATTATAATATTATTATATCAATTTCCCATCAAATTATTATTATTATTATTATTATCATGTAACTCTACACACACTAATATCAATATTATTACCATTAAAAATTGTTCTATTAAATACGTCTATTTAGATTATTAATTTACATTCCATATATTATTTATACATAATGATAATAATATAATAGTCATATATAAAATATATAGTGAGAAAGACTAGGACGCAAGCGTCAATTATTAAACTTCTTGTCCGGTAGTTTCGGACTAGCATTGTGGCATTACAATTATCTCCACCTCATCCCCTTAGTCGTTATTACATACCCTTTATATACATAGCAAGTGAAATACATGCTATTTTAATTTTTTTGATTTTCGTTCCCGACTGATTTGATATGAATACTAAACAGTATTGGGACGTGAAACATTATATTTTACACACCGATATCGTATACGGTACACCATATCTACTAGGTACCATATTATGTAAAAAAAAAATTAGAAATGAGATCTCGATATCATTGTCGACCATTTTAACGGTTGATGCACATTGAATAGAAGTTGCAGTCATCGGAAGACTCGGTGGATTTAACTGTACGTCTTCGAGATGTACCGCATATTCATTAAGATTGTTTATTTTTCAGAAAAATAAGAAAACCTATGAGGAACGTTACTATTATTTTCAAATGATATATATTAATCGTAAAATGAATACAAGCTAAATATATATTACGAGTACCAGGCAGCTGCACGCAAGGTTAGTGCACAGTTTTTTGGTGACGACTCATAAAATAATTAATTTAATACACTCGCAATAGTAACCATTAACTAAAGAGTCGCTCATTCGTCGTACTTGACCGGCTGCTGTTGTTGCTGTTGCTGCAACAGGTGATCGGTTGGCGAACTGCACGCGGTCGCCACCGCCGACGACGGTTGTGGTTTCTTCTTGAGTATTCCCATGTTCTGGGCCGTCTCCAAGAATATCTTGTGCTCGCTGAGCGCGGCTAGCGTTTCACGGTCCTTCTTCTGCTCCTCGTAGTCGCGTTTCATCTTGGCCCGGCGGTTCTGGAACCACGTGATGACCTGCGCGTTTGTCAGGCCCAGACTGGACGCGATCTCGTCCCTGTCGGCCGGCGACAGGTACTTCTGGTATAGGAACCTCTTCTCTAACTCGAATATCTGGTGATTGGTGAACGCAGTGCGTGACTTGCGCTTCTTTTTGGGCTGCGACCGCGAGTTGAACAGGTTCAGATGACTGGAACTAGTGTCTGTGAAAAGAAGAAAAAAAAACGTTGTTTTTAATAAAACTAGTCATATATTATAATGCATAACATATAGTAATATATTATTATATTGATGATGGTCTGAAAGTTACTAGCAATAAACCTCAATAATATCCTGAAATCGTTTACAGACCGCGCGCCGGGGGAGACTAAATTTTGATCGGTCGTGATTCTATCAATCGGTCTTGTAAAAGAAATAAAGCCTACAAGAAAAGACCACTATACTAAATCGTAAAAAGTTAACAATTCCAATATCCGTGAGAAGATGTGCGAAGAGTGTAGGTCTTACGCGTCTTATTGACACGCTCTCGTCTGGATTTTTGTCCGCGATTCGTGGTTGTAGCGCCGATTAACACGAGCTCCGGATTATCGATTATCCGCTACCGCGTCGAAACGAAATCCAAACGTTCGGTAATTATTATTAACCACCATAATAACGTTACACACAGTAGCATTACCTATCTATATATAGTCGCGTTGCGATATTTGACGATTGCGATTCGCCAATACGACACGCAGCTTCAACGCCCCGTTTATATATACATAATTAGGTTGGGCACTTTATAGATGTAAAAATATATATTATATGTATACCGTCTGACTAAATAACAGTGCACACACACACACACACACACAAATATATATATAAATATATATTTATTTTTATATGTAATATAATTTACATGTAAACCGGGTGTGTACAATCGATTGACCCGCGGCCAGCCGTGAATGATTCAGTCCGAAACGTGCGATTCCAGACGCAGACGTTTTCGATATAATCGCATCGCGGACACGGCTGATAATATAATAATATAACGATTGACGGACTGACGGCGACGAACGTATTAAAAACGGTGGCATGAAGTAAATATGAAATATGTATAGTTGTGTATTACGTACAAGACAGACGTATAACGACCAACCGTCTTAGTGGGTCTAATAATAATACTAGCGATGTTGTCGACGGCGAAACGTAAATCAAAATATATACAGGACAGCGGCGCGAGAACATGGCGAAAAATATTTGAAAAAAATATAATATATTAAATATATAGGTACGAACATATACGATATACGAACCTAACGATCGCTAGTAGAAAAGACTTATCGTCGCGGCGGCCGTAAAAACGCAAGAGAAGGGTTCGTTTTGTCAAACGCGCTTACGAGAAAACCCGTTAAAAATGTCAACTCCGATAAAACAGCACCGCGACTAATCCGCCGTTCGAACGAATAAATCACATTTCGTCCTTGCTCATAATAACACGCATGCCGTTTTAATGTTTTACTGCAGGCGGTCGCTATTCATTATTTTTGTTATTATTGTATTACAACTATAATTATACATACTACATGACGTTACGTTGTCGTTTTTCGCAAATGTGAGGCTCGGAAGAAATTCTTCAGCATATAAACGATGCACAATAGATACACTAAACCCACTATACGGTCCTCAAGTTAAATGCTACGTTCGGCGGAAGAGATCATACTATATTATATTTTATGATAAACGATGATGAGTGATTACCAAAAGGCCATACCAATTTTCTTTCCTTAAATAATACATATATTTTAAATCTGATTATTGAAATATTTAAATATACTGTAAGAGTATACAAACTTTTGTTATTAAAATTACATTCCCCTCTTTTACAGTGAATTATTAGCGGATATTTTTTCTAAAAATGTTGATTTATCAAGATCAAAATTTTATATTGTTGTTCATCCGATCCCTGTGATGACAGTTTGGTGGTGAAGTGTAGGGTAAAAAAATGTATTAAAAATGGAAAACATTGATAAAGTGGATGGCAAAATTATTGCGTAATGTTTTTAGATATGTTTAGTAATATATTATATTAATTTTTAATTTTAAAAATAATTTTGCTAAAACTTTTGAGAGGAACTTGAATCCCCCCTGTCGCTAACAATAAATACAAATTTGCTGGATAGACTACTTAACCAAGATTTTGACTTTTTTATACTAAGTTTTTTGAACGTGCGCGTGCCATTAATAAAAATACGTAATAAAAAATTTAATAAACGGTAAAAAGTAGGTACCTATAAGAAAAAAAAAACAGTGACCAGGCGCATGGCTGCGTTTTATTGCTTGAGAAGAAGCGATCTACCAACCCACCGAATTCCACAGCTAATTTGTAATCTGTAAATTTATACGAACGGCGTATAGTAGGAATTCATAATTTAACTAACGAGCAAACGACAAGCGAAACGTCTCTCTCTCACTCTCTCTCTCTCTCTCTTTATTTCTCTCTCTGATTTAATAGCCAAAGATTTTCGAGCATAATATGTGAAGGCCGACGGCACGGTGCGTAGTTTATGTTCGAGAAAAAAAAATGCACTTTCACATGTGTACAACGTATAAGTATAATATTTGTAGGTAGTATAAATTATTGTAAAATGTGCATTTGATAAGCAAGAAAAAAATACGTTTCCCCCCACACACACACCACTCACACACCATTAATTGGACGTCTCTCACGTCTCTCAGAGGCGGCATTAGTAGTGGGTGGCAAAAGATTTGTATTTTATTTTTCCTTATTCCTTTGTGTCCGCGTTTTTACACGATTATTACTACTAAACAACACTATACACTATAACTACCCCGCGTAATGCCGACCAATGCCACGGTCCGGTAATCACTCTATAGAGGCGGCGGTCACTTCACACTTATTTTGATCCGTGGTATTTTTCGGTCTTCTTCGACGAAGTGTATAATATTAAGTGTAGGTATTGTGTGTACCCTGAGAATATTTCTGTTTTTGGACGTCTTAACGATTTTTTTTTTTTTTTTTTAAGAATTTGACATCGGTCAGAAAACGATTGTCTTAATGCCTTTTAATATATATTTTTAATTATCACAGTATTAAATTATTATATTTGTTTAAATATACAATTCTGATGCGAAAAACAGCTCTCTATCTCGAACATAACGGTGGCAATTAATATGCGCTTATCGTTTTGGAAAATAGCAAACAACAGAGGCTCTTTCAAATAGCTCCGGTGACTAATTACAGCTCTTCGCTCAACCGCGTAGGCAGTAGAAATGGTGCGGTTGAAAATTCCGGATTATTATCGTCACCAGACTCGACGATTTTTCTTCGTAAAACAGAGAAGTTCTTTATTAATATTGTTATTATTATAAATTGTAGAATAAGTTTGTTTTATTTTATTCATTTATTTATTAGCATAAACGCCCATGGGGGCTCAAGTACAGTAGGTAATATCTCTTATCATAACATCAATTGTTTTAATTTTAGAATACACCAAAAATCTGTCGAGATAAACGGTATGGTAATTTAAAATATTGTTTCAAGAACAAACTCCTATCAAGAGTATGACGTGTGCATACGATTTGTATTATTTTTTTTCACGATTACAATAAATATAAATAGAGTGTTTTTGTTAGTGACGTACTCATGTAATTGGCTGATTAAAAATAATAATTATAATACATGTGAATAGAAGTACGTATTTAGGTTTTATCGCAATAAATACAAAGACAAGATAAACAACAAAATTAAAAAAAAAAAAACATCCGTAAATTACCATAAATGAAACTAGATACTTTGTAGACGTATCACACACACAGATGTATGTGCATTATTAATATATTATATTGCTTATGAGTTATGACGTTCACTACGTACGAACATTGGTACAGGACGATTATCGCTGGACACGTTCATAACTTTTAATATTTCTCTATATTTTACTGTTCTATTATACAGATGCAGGCGATATTAAATTGAATAATTTACTGCTAAACATTTATAAATATGATAATGACCACTTCTATACCCGTTAAGACTATTATAAAGTCAACATACAACATATACCTATCGTGTATCATTGAACCATTACTAGAACGTCGACACCAATGTATGTTATATAATATCTAATATTATAATGATGAATAATTATAAAAATTACAAACGATCGCTCATTTGTACCTATATACCTACTATAAAAGTTCTATACCACTATAGTAGATATAATATGTGATACGAGTACAAGACGTGAGGATTAACACATTGCTGTACCTCGGAATAATTTGTTAAGAGATAATACGTAAAAATTTATGTTTATCTATTTTTGCTTTATCAATACGTCCAACTCAACCGATCAGAGGATATCTTTAGTGGTGAGTTTCGCCCGTTTAATATACATTTATAGCGGACCGGCGACATCCTGCGCATAATATCATTAGTTAACATCATCGCGACTGCTTGTCGCTTCTGCTCTATGCCAACAGCGAGTAATGTATAACAATAATAATTAACATTATAATATTGCGATATCGACAAGTGTATAATATTATTATTATTATTATATTATATACGTGCGGGGACGGTGGTGGCGGCGTCGGCGGCCGAGCCGAGCCGAACTCAACCGATCAACGCGTTACGGCGCTACGGTAAGTTACGCGGCGTGCCTCGGCGGTGGGTAATAGCCGCGGGGCGCGCCGTCTCATGTCGGCGGCCACATCAAAGGTCCCGCGCATGGCAGGTGTGACTAAACAGCAGAGGCGGCTTCTCTGATCGTATCGCTTCTTATTACCGCCGCCGCCGCCGACACCGAAGCCCGACATTCCGGTGCGCGGGTTCTCAAAATTGTGTGTGTGTGTGCGCGCGCGCGCGCGCGCCCGACAGGTACACGACGAAAAAAGCCAAATTCAGAGATAGAGAGGCGAGCACAACAGTCGTATAATAGTACTATTATAATGCTAGTGTCTCGAGCCCGCTATGCATTAAAATATTTATAGATAGGCATATATATATTATCAGCCTACACCTACTGCACCGGATAAAACCGACGAGTCTAGATAAAAAAAAAAAAGAACCGTTGCACGGAGAGGGAAATCTCCATATTATACTCCGATATAATAATTGAAGTCGGATATCGATGTGATATTAATAATTATTAGATACCTCGAAGTTTGATGTTATAAATAAATACTAGTCTTAAATTGA